TCTCGTCCTCTGTCTATCTGTATGCATGTCTGTATGTCTCCCGTTCGTTCGTTCGCTCTCGGTTGATCTCTCTCTGCGCAGCCTCCTCGCGACCCAATTGTCTGACGGGCGCACATGTGTAGACATGCATTGATGAGATCCACTTGTGGATTAGAGGAGAAGCGTGATGGAATTAAGTCGTGCCGTGGCTCAAGCCTGTATGCTGTACCTTGGATACCTACTTGGGGGCTCAGGGTGTACGCCTAGAACGGCCTATCGTGTACTCAGTCTCTTGGACTAAGTGGTTCCCCTGTTCCACCGAGTGTGTACATGCGGGTACACATGTCAGCCTGCTTGTGCTCGTGGCCCTAGTATGTGGAGGGGGTGCTGCAACTTCTGCACCAGATACAGCACCGGCTTTCCGACCTCGGGCCAGTCGGCCGGTTCGCCTGGCAACAGTGGTGCGGCTGTTTCGCCCCCTTTGTCGGCTGCCTGGCGGAGGCGAGGCAACCGGGTGGTGGGCTCGCCAAAGTCGCAGAACTCTGGGCGGAAAGGTGCTTCTAGCCGATTTCGCGAGACAGAGAAGATTGCCTCCTCAAACAGGGTTGTTGTCACAGAGCCACTGGCCGACGAGATTTATGCCCTTTTAACCAGAGACCATGACGGCCTAGACGACCTGTTGCCGCCGTATGGTCTGCAGCCCGATTCGGGCAATTCATCCGGCCCCGGTGTAGCCCCGCTCGAGGCTACGCTACTGTCACCGACTGGCCTCCACAAGCCGCGTAGTGACTCCGTGCCAAATGGTGTATACCCGGCGCCGGGACCAGCTTTTCTGGTCGCTTCGCAACAGCCGGTCGTTTCGTTACCCACCCCTCGGCACACTCGTCGTGTCAGCGATGTCAGCAGTGCTGCCACAGACTCGTTGACTGCACTCACGCTAACTCCGGCCGATCTAACGCCATCTTTGCGAAGACGCAACTTTGAAATAGACCCAGAAGTCGGTCGTCGGCCGACCCTAGTGATTGAGACGACAGCTCGTCTGGCCGAGGCCGAGATTATGGGTTTCGATGAGTCGGAGAGAAGCGAAAGCCTGGCCCCGACCAGTGGAAGTCTTAACTCGAGCGAAACTAGTTGCGGCAGTCCTGCACCCAGTCCTCTGAAAGAGATCTCTAGAACCCTTCAACTGACTCAGCACCACGACCAAGTTGCACTCGCAGGTGTTGGCGACAAAGGCGCCGGCAGTGAAGAGGATAAAGACGCTGGCAAACCGACCTGTTCAGTTAAGCCTGAAACGCAGAAACCCATCTCTGTCACCGGAATGTCTTCCCTCTTCAGCAGCCGAGTTGGCCGGTTTCCATGGGGTCTCTCCAAACCCGTGACCGCCAGCATCAATTCAGAGGCGACAAATGAGACTGCGGCTCTTGAACGGGGCCTTCAGAAGTCCGGCCTTTCCGCATCGCCCGACCCTCTTGAGGCTCCCGGCGACGATGAGGCACAGGCTGGTTGTGAAAGTCTGTCGAGCGGTTTGATTGGGCGGTCAAAGAAGAAGCAGAGACTCAAGAAGGGCTCCAGTTTGATCAAACTGAAAGGAGCCGGCTCATTCAGGAGGGCTGTTGCAGTTGCATCCAGTTCGGTCTCTTCAATGGCGCCGGTTGGAATTCAGAAGAAGGCCCCTCCTTCGTCTGTCACGGCCGAGTCGACCTCGACACCGACGTCGGCGACCCCCGGACGAGACCCGTTGTCACTCAGTCCCACTGTAACCATGGCATCGGCCAGCACAAGCCTAGTCCATTCGGGCCCGAGTCAGGCGTCGCGAGACAGCGGCCCTAACGAGGAGACGAGCGATGCGGAAGAAGACAATGGCGACCAGCTGTCCAGCCTGCCGGGACAGCCCGGCTCTCGGCTTCACCACCTACTCGGTCCCAAACTCGCTCTTCTGCCAGGCGTCCGCCCATGCGACGTAGCCAGGGCCGCCGGTCACACGCCCGTAGACTCGAGCAAAGAGTCTACGAGACCGGTAATTAACCCCTATCGTGCCAGGTCTGGCAGTCTGCAAGTCACTAGCTTTTTCGACTTGAATGACATACAATCGCCAGGGTTGGATAATGAGTTTCGAACCATGGGTGGGTTGAGTGCCTGTAGTCCCTCAGCCTCTCTCAGGAAGACAAATATGGAGGGTGTGGGTGCTTCCGGCAAACATACTGGCTTACGTCGTGGTTCCCTTTACATTTTCAGAAATAGTGATGAACCCATTGTCACCCCGTTCGCCCAGGTTCTGGCAAGTCTACGGAAGGTGCGAGCCAACTTCATCTTTTTGACAAATGTTCATAGCTCCAAAGAGTAAGTCATATAGTTTTTGGTTACCTTCTATTCTACCTCATACTTTAATGCTTGTATTTTATTCATAAATTTATTATTTATCCTTATTGTTTTATCAATCTATATTTTTACGTCTTTATGCTTATTATTGTTCATCTTGTCGTCTGATGTATAGACTTGTTTTTATATATATCTATTTATAAACTATCCATCAACAGCAACAGCAAGACGAGAATGCAATTATCAACCATTTGTGTATGTATGTTATTAAATTCTGTATTGAATTTCTTATTTTATCTTGTGACTAAGGTGGAGAACTCGTCATTTAGTTTCTGGAGCAGGTACAACTCCGTAGAGGGAATCTATACTGAGAAGAATTAAAATTCATGTTCATTAGACATTGAGCTCATGTATTCCCGTTAGCTCGGCATTTTATTGAATTTTATCACAGCTAATAATTTAGGTTTTTTGAGTTTCTACTAGCATATTTTTACTAAAATTGTACTGGACTCTACTATGCTAAAACTAAATGAGCAAATATTTCTAGTTTTAGTTGTGACCTTAACTTTTTCTGCTGACTCGATACTTGAATACTATGAGTTATGCAGAGATTCTCTTAGTCATTGCGTCGATTTTATCTCTTTCTCGCAACCTGATGGTATTTAAGAGGTACTTCAATTTATATACCTCGTACGTTTATTTTTATTGACTTTCTTTCGATACTACTAGTAGGTTTTGGCTAAGAACCATATTCCTCCTAGGTCGCATAATAGTTGAAGATGTCCATGATACTCTGAATAAGCCTCACGATGGCGTTGAATTTCACATAACCTTGCTTCCCATAAGGGGGGAAAACGTCAACTCTATTCATATCATTGTCGATCAAATTAACTACCATTCCTTCGCCACCTTAAACGTAATAGGATGAATACATCTCATATCGCCACTTTATTGGTAGTCTCGAAACCCTATTTATAAAGGAAAAACTGCGACCAAACAAAAGGCCACACCATCTTGGCCTTCATATCTACGAAAAATAGAATTGTTGGTTCGACATCG